ATCTAGGGACACGGGATGTGGGGCGACGCGAAGGACATGGGGACGCGGGGGGGCACGAAGGCGGGGGGCATGGGGGACGTGAAAGACAAGATCTGGGGCGATACAGGGGGACACGAAGGACACAGGGGTACGGGGCAACGCAAACGACACGGTGCAGAGGACGAGGAGGGTGCGAAGGGCAGGGGAACGCAGGAGCAGGGGGGACACGAAGGACATGAACGACATGGGGATACAGGGGGACACGAACAACAGGGGATGTGGGGCAACGCAAAGGACACAAGGGTGCAAGGGACAAGGGGGACACAAAGCACAGTGCACAAGGGATGGGGGACATGAAGGACATAAAAGCTATGGAAACAAGGGGGGACAGAAGGGACATGGGATATGGGGCAACACAAAGGACATGGAGGGACAGGGGACATGGAGGACCTGAAGGACACAAAAGATACTGGGATACAGAGGGAAACAAAGGATGGGGGGACACAAAGGACATGGGGAATATGAGGGACAAGGGCCATAAAGGACACAGAGACATGAGTGATGGGGGGACGTGAAGGACATGGGGGACCTGAAGACGGGGTGACACAGTGGACAGAAAGGGTGGGGGACATGAAAGATGGGGAGACAAAAAGGACAATGGACAGAGGACAGGGGACGTGGGACACAAAGGACATCGGGGACATGAAGGACAGAGGGAAACAAAGGTCAGGGACATGAGGTTCACGGGTGGTGGACACAAAGGACATGAAGGACAGGGGACATGAAGGATGAGGGACAGGAAGGACATAGGGGACATGGACAGAGGGACGGGAAGGACATGAGGCATGAAGGACAGGGTACAGAAAGGACAGAGACATGAAAGATGAGGGGGACAAAGCACAGGGAGGAAGGTGCGAAGGAAACAGGACACGAAGGATGAGGGACATGAGGAATGCAGGATACAAGTAACACGAGAGACACAAAGGGCAGGGGGACACGCAGGAGAGGGGATGCAAAGGACATGGGGACATGAAGGACCAGGGGACTTGCACAGCGGGCGGGAAAGTGTGGCAGCAGGGATGGGACCTCTGGGAGGAAACACTGTGAGCTCGCTTTCCCTGGCAGCCAGGAAGGCAAAACAAGCCTCGTCCGATGTTTTTTCGAATTTCAAAATGGATAGAAAGACAGTTCCCCTTGGCAAGCCAGGAACACAGGACGCTAATTCCCACTTCCAAATAATCACCAAGCCTGCATTTCACTTTCCTGCAAGAAAGTGAATACTTGTTTAAAAATAAAGAAAAAGCATGCTGACTGCCCCCAAAAGGACGTCTTTTTCCAGAAAGTTTCTCATATGCAAAATTTAGACTTTTTGTCCAGAATCACCTAGGGAAAAAATGATACAGATTTTCCCCGTGGGGAGGGGATTGAATATTTGGGTAGTGCTCAGAGCTTCTGCAAATGCAATTTGATGGAGGTGCTGTGAATCACAAAGAGCAGGGTGGGGGCCTGGGCTCAACGCCATCTCATGCCTGTGTTGTCTCCCTGCGACACTGCAGCTCCTGATCGCTCGCCGGAGGAGAACCAGCTGTTATTTCTACCCCCGCGCGTGGCCCAGCATCAGGAACACAGACTGGTGGGAGCGAGTGGTCATGAAGGAATTCCGGCCTCAGGACTGGCTGGAGAAGTTTCGGATGTCCAAGGAGACCTTTTTCTACGTGTGTAACCAGCTGCGGCCAGGGCTGGCCCACCACGGTGCTCACTTCCACTCCACGCTGCCCCTGGAGAAGAGAGTCGCCGTGGCCCTGTGGCACTTGGCCACCAACGTGGAGTATCAGACTATCAGCCCGCTCTTTGGCGTGGGGCCTGCCACGGTGCAGACCTGTGTCAGGGAGGTGAGTTACGCCGTGGTCTTGCTGCTGAAGCCACTCTACCTCCGGCTGCCCAATGAGAAGGAGCTGGAGAACATGGTGCGCATCTTCCGTGCCCGCTGGGGCTTCCCGCACTGCATCGGTGCCTTGGACAGTCTTCACATCCCCATCAACCCTCCTCTGCGTCTCAGCGCCGACTACTGCAACGGCCAGGGCTGGCATTCCATCCTGACACAGGCTACCGTGGATGGGCTGGGCCAGTTCTGGGACGTCTCCACTGCCTTCCCTGGCAGCATGGAGAACAGCGCCGTACTGGAGAGCTCCAGCTTGTGGGTGCTGGCCAAGGAGGGCCGGCTGTGCCCCAACCCTCCCAAACATTTCATGGGGAAGGCACAGAAATATGTGCTGCTGGGCGATGCCACCTACCCCTTGCAAGACTGGATACTCAAGCCTTACCAGGAGGATGAGAACCTCACCCAGCGGCAGCTGCAGTTCAACTACCGCCTCAAGCGGGCGCACAGCGTGATCGAGAATGCCTTCCTCCGCCTCAAGGCTCGCTGGCAGATCCTCCTAAAGTGCGACGACTGCAGCCTGGAGCTGCTGCCCACCCTTGTCCTTGCCTGTTGCATCCTGCACAACGTGTGTGAAGCTCATGACAACCCCTTCAACGAGGAATGGTTGGAGGGCACCGAGCCAACCGAGCTGCCCAAGCCATGCCAGCCCGCACCTGCCTCCATGGAGGATGGTCGGGCCGAGCAAGTGCGCGAGCTGATGTGCCAGTATTTTGAGACCTGTGGGGAGGGCTGATAGGGAGGAAGAAGCAGCCATGCACATCCTCGCTCGCAGGCTTCCCATGAACTCCAGTAAATGTGACAGTTGCCCAGTGATACTGGGCTGTTCAACAAGGACTGCATCCTCTCGCCTTCTGCAAAATGCTGCCGGCAGAGCGAGAGGGCTGTCGGATGGGCCGGATAGACCAGCCTTTGCTGGCTCAGTCGCTTGCCGGAGGGAGGCCAGCTGCATCACGCTAGTACTGTTTTTGCCACGGTGATTTCAGGCAGTGGAATGTATTTCATGCCCTTGTTCTCTTCCAGGATTTGAATGATCTTGTGATGTGTTCTGTGCTGTATAAATAAAACAGGGATCTAGGTTTGGCTGGAAGGAGGGCCTTTCTTTACAGGATGAATGTGGGTCTGCAGAGCGCAGGGTGAGGGGAAGGAGTTGGCCAGTCATTATGGAAGCTGTCACCACTGAGTGACCAGAGCCTGAAGGAAGGAGCAGCCAGAGCCCAGATCTGCATCAGGTGCCCTGAATGACAGCACTTCTGCCACAGTGTGCCCAAACTGCCACCATGCTGGCCACTTCAGTGGGATGCACTTAGATGCTGGGGCAAGGGGCCAAGGACTAACAGCTATTAGCTGTGTTACCGTAACATCGACCAGCCACGCTGAGCTCAGGACCTCACTGTAGTGACATACTAAGAGAATCTTTGTCCCAGGGCCCTATGCTCAGACCTGAAATCAGGAGACCTGAAATCAGAAGGCAAAACTCCTTTGAGAGTAGGAAACTTATGTAAATACACAAGGGAAGGGAAGGGAAGGGAAGGGAAGGGAAGGAAGAGGCAGAGAGAGCAGTGAGTTGCTTGGGGCTGGCACCCAAGTCAGGAATGAAATCACCTCTGCAAACTGCTGCTTTAGCATCTGGTCAGCTAGTTTGTGTTCCCTCTTGGCTTGGGTGGGCTGAGCTGCCTCTAGCCCCAGATCCAAGCCCCATCCCTTTCCTCACTCTGTCTCTGATGGGGTTACTGCCATGATGGTCTGCGGTTTGGCCCAGAAAGTCCCTCCCCATCTGCACCCTCCATGCAGCTGAGGCCTGGGCACTGCTAGTGCCTCTAATCTCTGTTAGGTGCTGGTGGCATTTCAGCGACATCAGGAGAGATGGCAGCAAGCTGTGAGACAGAAGCAGGACCTGAGGCTGCTTCTGGAGGAGCAGGACTCTCCAAAGCAGCCTCATGAGCCTCCACAGAGAGCCTGCCTGTAGTGAAACATGAGTGTCTGCTCATGCCTCTGCAAGGAAGGGCAGGGCAGACGCACACGCACCGCCGGCCAGATCCCAGCCTGGCTGCAGCCCACAGCACCAGCATGATTAGAAACGCACAGCTCTGCTTGATATCGTCTGAGAAATCAAGCTGCTGTGGTTTACTCCTCTGCTGTCCTCCCGCCAGAGGCAAGAGCCCCATGGCGCACCGCCTCGGCCGTGCCAGGGCAGAGCACAGAGGCACCTTCATCAGCACTTTATTTGAAGGCAGTAGGCGGGGGAACGGCACAGACACGTCTCACTGCCACCTGTCCTACCGAGACAGTATCCTGTGCCTGAGGGGCTCGGTGCATAGCTGGGAGTATAACAACATGGGGTGCCCCAGTTTGAGGTGTGTGGTAGAGCCCACAGGAGCACAGATGGTGATGCCCCGGACTGCTGGCAGTGCTGGCCGCTGGCTGGAGGTTGGTAGCCACCTCCCCATCTCACCTCAGCCAGAACAAACCATGTTGGCTTGAACCCTAAATCTTCAGCCTCCTGGCAAAAGGCGTCAGAGCAGCAGCATGGGCTGCTCAGCTGCAGCAGGTACAGCCAGACCTGGATGGGGGCTGTTTGCAGCCTGCCCTCTCCCACAACTGTGCTGGCATTTGATGGCCTGTTTATCATGGAAATCTAGTGATTCCCTCTGTTTTGTATCAAAAAAGTCTGCATAGTCAGGAAGATCTGGTGATGCCAGCAAGCTGGGGGCATAGGAAAGGTGCTACACTGGGGTCCATGGCAAAGGGCGACTTGGGAACTCCGTGCAGCCCGTTTCAGCCCAAATGCACCCCCTTAGCCTTATCTTTGGGCAAGAAAACTGGTTGTTGGGGTTTTTTATGTGCTTCTAGGATCAGCCATGATTTTTCTTCACTCCAAGAGCTGCAGTTTGAAAGGACACAGACCCCTGCATGCTACAGTGAGTTAGCCATCATCTGGCTTTGTCCCAGCGTTGCAAAGGGGGGAGTCCTGCCTTTTGTTGCCCAAAAGGCATTTCGCAGCTCAGCACAAACCCCAGCAGGGCTCACTGGGTTTGCCTTCCTGAAGCTCCCAGCTTCCTTTCCTGGCCCAGAGCAGGGAAGAAAGGCTGAGCATGAGGACCACAACACCCCTAGCTTCATTCCTGTTGCACACTGATATAAATCACAAAGTGAAGGAGACAGCAATGGAAAATCAGGATCACCGAGAGCGGAGTGGGTGGGAAGGAGCAACCTGGAACATGTTCAGCTGACATTAGTGGCGGATGATGGCCTGTGTTGCTGTGGCCGGATCGGTAAGTACCTACGTGTGCCCTTTGTGCTGAGCTCCTGCTTTGATAGGAGTGTTTGCGCACAGCAGCAGCAGCGCTGGGGTTACAGTGGTGGTTTCCACACTAGCTGGGATGCCACAAGGGATGCTGTACCCTGGGCTGTGTCTTGGAGGCAGGTAGCGCACAGGGTGCTGGAAATGAAACAGTAAAGGCAGCCACATGGTACTTCTACTGTTGGGAGTTGCCAGGCTTTTCCCAAGTGCCACGGAGTCAAAAAATCATACAGAAAACAAAAATACCTGTGTTTGAGCTTGGAGCACCAACCAGAAGAAGAGGTATTTCTGCTTCTGTGCTTGGGGTGATGGGGCTGCCTTAGAGCTGCTGGAGCAGCCCTGGAGGGTGATGGGACAGCCTT